CTGGATAGTGATGATATTATATTAGAAACCATAATCATAATTATTAAACCCAATGAGATCCCTCCCCTGCCTACCTCCTCAAACTACCCCCACCTCTGCTACCTTGAAACACCAACTCATGAATTACTTGACCTCTGCCTGATCCCTATAATGTAAGTGTATGAATAGATTTGACTACAGTAACTATACTTAGGCTATGATATATAGTCCCTGAGTGGAGCTCAAGATCTAAATGCAACTGGCGAGCCCGCCAGCCAGCCAGATGCCTTATTGAAGATAACAAGGAAAGAAAAGCTCTTAGGCCCTTGTTAGAGCACTACTACATCCCTTGAGGTAAACTATTCGGGATTGACGATATGCCATCTCTAGTGGTGGTTAGCAGATTAGCGGCAATAAGATTCTGAGCCTATAGATAATCGCTTTGCCAACGAACTACCGTCCTTTAATCACCTAGTAGTTTACAATATCATACCAGTATCGCCACCATAAAGCATGAGTCCAACCCAACTTTCCAACGGCAATACGACATACGATGGCAGGATATGGCCATGTCCCAAAGCCCCAAGCAAAGGAACTAGACATATACGAAGGAGCCAAAGATAAACTACAAATATTCCTAGCACAATGCAATGGATACTTAATAGTGATTCCTCATATGCAATTTTGATATTATCATTCTGTTCTCAATATCCTTTGACCAAGAAGTATCCTTTGCATTGTGCTAGGAATATTTGTAATTTATCTTGGGCTCCTTTGTATGTATCCGGTTCCTTCACTTAGGGCCTTTAGGCATGGCCTTGTCCTGCCATCATACACTGTATTGCCATTAGGAATGACTAGAACTGAGCTTCTGTCACACCTAACACATGAGTTCCTGGCCCTAGAGAGGCCGGGACCTGTGGCCCTAGGACTGCTGATCCGGTAATGGGGACTCTATCTGAAAAGATAGATTCCAAGGTTACGACCACACTGAGATGAATGCTTCTACAAAGTGAACAAATATAATAAAGTATCAAAGTCTCAAGTAGTAGAGTTTGAAGAAGCAAAACAGTAAAATTTAATATCGTTAAGCCACGGCTTTACTCAATTAAGTCCTGATCTCGAGAGGTAGTTGATTGCCAGAGTAGAGTAGAACTCACATATACTTAAGTAGATTTCATATACTACTAGTTGCTCCCTATCACTACTCTGCATTCACAAGCACCCAACTCTCACGGGCTGCCTAAATAAGCTCTATGGGTCGGACCAAAGATCCTCTGTAGCGAACTACACTGCTCAATGGTTGACTGACATCTACCTGATAAAAGTGTTTTAGTAGCTGCATCTACAATGCAACTGCAGGAGTAAAAACCCTTCATATCACGGACAAGTCAGTGACAAACTGTCATGCCCGAGCAGATTCGATACCAACTATAAAACTCTCTACCCATATTTACTTAGTCTTCTTAGAAGCATCCACAGCCCATGAACCTCTATCTGGTTCTACTCAATTCTATTTCATTCCAGATAATAACCACGTAGCTCGCCTCATAGACTCCTTCGGAGGTTGACAACCAATAGGCACTACTCCCAGTCAACCCTCCTAGAAGTAGGTCTTATTGTGACCTCAGACTAGTGTCTCAGAGTCATTAATGATTCTCTAATACTATTACACTTTAAGGGCAACAGATTTCGGTTACCTCACCTACTGGCCTCCGGTATCTACACATACTACCTTGAACTTCAAAGTAGTATTACTCCACCTGTTCAGGTCCGTTTTACATGAAACTACCTGAAGACCATTCTCCAGGTTCTCCTCTACCCACCCATATATCCTGTGCAAAGCTTCCAGTTGGATGGACAGCAGGAGCGGATACGGTGTTATGAGATCGTTTCCACCATGAGACTTGTACTAGACTTGCAGCAACTCTCCAGACAGTAGCCCATAATGCTAGAGACCTATAACGGGGCCGGAGGGGGGTGTTAGCCACCACACCTCCCAGTTACAACTTGTTCAGAGCTGAACTGGTTGTTCCAGAGTAATTCACACAACCTGAGATTCAAACACCTTACGTAGCTTTGTGTGACAAACAATCAAGTAACTTCCCCCAAAGTCCTGCGTAAAAAGTTACTTTCAAGGTAGAGTAACTTGGCTCCATAGCAGGGTAATCTATGGCCCAAGGCAGGGTAACTCTGGTCCAAAGATAGGATCACTCTACCCAAACCCACAGTAGAGCAATTCCGGGTAACTCCCAAATGGACTACTTGTATTACCCTACGGAGTAGGGTAACTACCACTCCTTACTAATACCTATGTACTTCTTAGTATATCCAACTAAGATATCTAATTAACGGTACCTCCACTCAGTAGACTCTAGTCTACCGCCATTCCTACAACAGTAGTCTCTTGACCCCGGTATGGGAATAGGTTTGGCTAACTGTAATAGTACTCTGTAGAGTCTTGTTATATCACTCCCCTCTTCCATAAGGCTCAACCCAAGCCAGTCTAACAATGCCTCTTATTTCCACTACTTGGTATATCTACAACCCTATGGTGTCTAGGTTTAGATGAGTACCTTTTATGAAAATCGCTTATGGCCTGCATGCCAGTTCCTTCTAACAACTTGAACAGCTCCCACTAATTTTCTTCAGGTCCGTAACTTTCCCACGATATAAGGTATAGGACAGACTAATACAGGAACTTCTGCTTGACTCTGCCATACTACCAGCTGTCTAACACCTCCAAGATAACATAGCTGGGCTCATCCTCTATGATGTTACAGATAGAGATATCTTTTGTCCTTCTCCTGGTCTGATCCTCATGGTATGGTTCCAGCAGTCCTACATTGAATACCGGATGGATTGACGAACAGGCAGGAAGCTGGAGTTCGTATGCCCTAGTACCCACACATCTCTTGACCACACAAGGGCCAAACAATCCGTGGTCTAGTTTCTCCATAGGCCTCTTGGTACAGATATTTTTGCAATTCAGCATTACAGATCTGCCTTAATAGCTCTACCTTGTTTGATATCTTCTAGGGTGGTATACTGCGGAGATGGTAGTCTTTTCTTGTCATGCCACTTCCGTTGCCTTTTCTGTGCCCTCTGTAATGTTTCTTGTATGTCTTGCCATGTACCTTCCCAATTCTTGACCAACAGTTCAGCGCTCTGATGAATCCCTTTAGTATGAGGAACAATTCCAGACCAGATTAACCTCGGTATGAATCCATAGTTAATCTCAAAAGATGATATCCTTGTAGACTCAGAGGTGAATGTATTATGACATACTCCGCTAAGGATAGTAACCATGGCTAGTCATCCTGCAAGTAGGTTCAATAACTTCTCAGAAATTGTTCCAAGGTCTAATTTACCCTCTCAGTTTGACCATCAGTTTTAGGATAGAATGCGGTTAAGACATTGAGTTTTACTTCAAGCAGTCCCAGTACGCTAAACTAAAATTTTACCTTGAGCCCACTATCGCGGTCAGAGATAATTGATTCGAGGAGTCCACACAATCTCCAGATCTTTTTGAGAAATATAAGAGCAAGTTCCTTGATTGGTACCTCTGTAGCAAGCAGGATGAAATATTCCATTTTTGAAAATCTATCAACTATGACCCAAATCTTTGTAAAACTCTCAAATTCTGGTAACGCCACAATGAAGTCCATCGATATTGCATTCCATGGTCTCAAAGGAATATCAATTGGCTCAAGGAGCCCAAACCTCTTATGTCTGACAGTTTTTACCCTTTGACAGACATCACAGGACAGAACATAGTCTTCGATATAGGCCTCCATCTTTGGCCAATAGAAGTTGGCTTTAACCTTACTAATGGTCTTATAAGTTCTGAAGTATCCGGCTAGATGGGAGTCATGTTCTACTTGCATGATCAGTTCTTTTAGCCATTGATCCTCTGGTATGTACCAATACTTCTTATATAAGAGGCAGTTCTTCTCTATTGAGAAATTAGGGTTGACCGTTTTGTCTCCTTGAGTAACAGATTTGTAAATAATTTGATAAGTATTGTCTTTAGTGATAGCGAGTTTCAACCCATCCAGCATTCCTGATTTCAACCGGAAGTCCTGGCATAGTTGCACCAATTGTAGTCGCAAGATGTCTTACTCCTCACTCTCCAAATACTGTCCAGGACGAAAAAATGTCTGTTCTTAACCAAAATTTCGCAAAATCACACCCCTCTTCAGGGCGGTACTCTGAACGCCTCGACAATGCATTAGCTTTCCCTATAAGTGTTCTTTACAATAGACAACCTTAAAATTAAATTGTTGAAGGAATTCTGCCCAGTAATATTGCCTGCGATTCAGTATCTTAGTACTATTAAAGTACTCCAAATCTTTATGATTGGTATAGATAGTTATCTGATCAGATACTGAACGTAAGAGATAATCCCATTCTTTAAATGCAGTAATAATTGTGGACATCACTTTATCATGCACATCATAATTTATCTCTGCTGGTGAGAACTTCCGGCTATGGTAGGCTACCGGATGTCATCTATTATCTTCAAACAGCTGTGACAGTATGGCTTCTAATGCAAAATCACTAGCGTCAGTTTCCAATTTGATTAACCTTTCAGGATCAAAATGGGCTAGAGTGGGGCTTGCCATAAATATTGCTTTAATGTGACTAAAGGCTTCATCCCACCTTGGACCCCATTCCTATTTGGCATCTTTCTTCATTAAGTCAGTCAATAGCTTTGTTATCTTACTAAAGCCTTCAATGAACCGACGATAGAAGTTTGCAAAACCCAGAAAGCTTTGTACATCAACAACTGTTTTTGGGGGAGTCCAAACTTCAATGGACTTTACCTTTTCCGTGGTTATCATGATACCACAGTCAGATATATGGTATCCGAGGAATTCTACTTCTCTTTGATGGAATATGGATTTCTTAATGCTTACGCAAAGCATAGCTTTACGTAGTCTTTCCATAACCCTTCAAATGAGAGAGATATGTTCTTCTTTTATCTCTGAGTATATTAGGATGACAACTATATAGGTGATAGCTCCTTCACCTAACAAGTCTCAAAAGACATTGTGTATCATACTCAGGAATATAGATGGAGCATTACACAACCCAAACGATATTACAGTATACTCATACAATCCATATCGACCGCAAAATGCATCTTCGACTCTTCTCCTTCTGCCATTTGAAAAAGATTGTAGCCATTCTTCAAATCTAATTTAGTGAAGACAGTGGCCTTTCCAAGTCTATCTCGCAGCTCATTTATCAATAGTAAAGGATATTTACTCTTTACCGTAATCTTATTCAGCCACCTGTAATCAATACATAACCTAAATGAACTATCAGGTTTGGGTACAAAGATGATTAGGGCTGCAGCAGGGGAATTAGATCTTCTTATCTTTCCCGTTACCAATATCTCGTTGAGATACTCTCTTTAGGCCTTGAGCTCATTCTCAGATAAGGGGTATATAGGACTAAAAAAAGGAGATGTTCCCAGCATGAATTCAATCTTATGATCTTCTCCTAAGTGTTCTGGTAACGCATCGATCCTTTGCTGGCTAAATCTGTCTCAAAGATCCTTATACTAGGGAAGAAGACTAAGAGCAATATCTTTATCCTCTTCTCCGGTGAACTGCACATATCCAAGAAGGTACATTTGAGCTTGGCCCTCTGCCAATAGCTCTTCTTCAGTTATGAATTCTAACTATCTCTATCCTACTAGGCACTTGGCCTTACACAGAGCTGATCTCCAAGTAAAGCTCCTAGATTTCCAGCCTATATCAGGATTATGTTTATTGAGCTACGATATAGGAAGACAACCATAGATCTTCTTATCAGATATACCTGCTAGTTCAAATCGCATGTCATTGACATGATCACTAATATGCATCTTCAGGGTCTTAGTCTCGTGAAGACCTGAATTGGGAATGTCATTTCCGCTAGCATCCTTAATAGAAGCTATAACTTTCCTCCAAACACAAGGGACCTGGGTCTTCTTTGCTTATTAAGTGCTTAGCGCTGTGCCCGTAGCGCTACCATCTAATGCTAGTACAGCCTCAGTTGTACAATCTTTTGCACTACAGCACCATTCGAGTCTAACTCGAACTCTGATAGACTTAATATGTTTCAGGGGGCCCAACAGCCTCGCCTTCTTCTTGGAGTTTTCTCTTGTAAATATGGTAATAGAAGTCTCTTGCCTTTCGACACAAGAGTGGCCATAACGGGTCAATGATATTATAGTTTCAATTCACTAGGTATCAATAGTAAGGGTATTTACTATTATGTCAGCATGATTTCGGGTACTCAACCCTCCTCAGGTAAACTTGATAACAAAATTCCATTGCTCTAATCAAGACCAGCCTGATATGAAAATGAACTAAAACAAATAAACAAAAGAAAACAATCTGCTTCCAATACTAAGGAAAATTTCCATCCAAGTAAGGAAACAACATATTCCCACATCAATAAACAAGAATACAAAAGAGAAATAAATCAAAACAACACCAAAGAGAATCCCTCAATGCCCTAAAAACCTCCACTAGCCTCGTTCCTTCTCAGACTGCTACGGTCCAGAACATCTAAGAGGCTTTATTAGTCTATATCGACTGTAGGATTTCTCAGGTCATGATTACTCTAAGATTTCTCCACATAACTACCTGATATTATGTTAGTATCTTGTTATTTCGTCTGTAGGAAAGGGACTTACCTATTCCTCAGTATCCGTATCAACTTCCATGATCTCGAGAAACAATCTTCAGACTTCCAACAACTTCTTTGAAGGTGGTACTTTGATATGACAGACTTTGTTGTTCGATGCTTCATTAACTTCAGCATCTTCAGCCATTCGCTGCTTGGTTATCGACTTAACTCCTTTGGCTGAGCTAACAACTTTGTCGGCAGAGAAACATTTCCGCCAAAAATGACCAGGCTTTCCGCATCTCGTATACTGCAACTTCTTGTTTCGCTTATCGATAAGCGTAGATGGGATATTCCTGTGACTGTTAGTGTGCTCAGAATTCTCTTGCTTTTATAATGTATCAGCAGAAGATAAGGAGTACTTAGGGTTGGTCTTACCCGAACCCTTTTCCTTCCGTTTTTGTTGTTTCCTTAAGGTTGATAACCTCTCCTCACTCTTGCCCTGGGTTTCCCTTCATCTTTTAGTAACCATTTCGCTGAAAGTGATATTGTCCCGAAGGGCATGGCCTGGCTTCCGTAGAAGGTCCATATATTCGGACACATCAGTAGGATTGGGTGTCTTCGGAGCCCAGACATTCCACAATTAGAATATTATTGTCAGCCAGATCTTGGCCTTGATCATTGTAGGATCTGTATAGCCCAGTTGAACGATGAGATGCATTATCATGTCTATATACTGGTCTACTTGCCCAGCCTTCATCTGCAGTTTCGTCCATTCACTTACAGCACAGTCTTAATCAATATGGGCACCAAAACTTGTCATCAATCATTTCCCGAATCCTTCTCACATATGAAACTCATAGTTGGGATGAAACGGTATACCCACCTGGTGAGCACCATCTTCACTGATGTACTGGTGTAGGCACATGTACCAAGTTTTAGCAGTGCCTTGAAGAAGAGGGATAACGAAGCTGATTTTGTCTATATCTTCCATGACAGATTCCCAGAAGTACTCGAACTTGATTTCCACATTATCAATGAACCACTGAGTATCAGTAGTATCTCCCTTAAAAGGAGTTATATTACCTAATTTCTCAGGCTTCTTAGGCTTATTTTTGGGAGAGGATATATCCCCACTGAACCTCACAGCCCCTGTTACTCCACTGAGTGACAGCAAAGCTCATAGTAATCTGCGGGCACATTGGTCATAGTTTCTCTTCTTCTTCTCAGACCAGGTTGGCTTTCACCTGCCCAGAAACTCTGGAAAATCGGGTACGGAGTTGACATCTCCGTCATTACTACTACTGGAGGAGCTGGAATCATCTGGATCCCCACTGGTACCAACGTTTCTGCCAGGTGGGAGATGATCTCCACCACCACCGGTGTTTCCACCTTGACCTCCAGAGAGTCTGTCATACCCATCAAAGGAGTCCTTTCTTTCCTGTTGTCTATCCTCTTAGGGAACCACCCCTGGACAAGACAGAGGCGTTGGAGGTAGATCTGGTAATAGATCAGCTGCTGAAGAACTTGGTGTTACTCTATACTGACCTTGAACAAACTGCTGGAATTCGAGAAAGCTTTCCAGCAGTGCCGGAGGTCCCATGTAGGACTATGAACCATAATAAGAACATTTGGACTTTTGCATCTGCGAACCTCCCTCCTCAGGCTTCTGGTACACCTGACTTGAACGACTGTTAGGACAGTTGAATGCGTGTGTAGCCATTGGAAAGTGAGGTCCTCCCACGACCGTACAACCAGTGTGACAGAAGACCATAACCACTGGCAATAAAGGCCTTTGGACTCATTCTCCCCCCAGTGGATTTGCTTCTCTCCCCTACCATCTAGGCTTATCGAAAAACTTATTTGCAAGAGTAGATTTCCTGGGTACACCAGGTAGGTTGGATATAGGAGGGAGAGGAGCAGGTTCAATAATAACAGGAAGATGCCCTAGCCTTGGTCAGGACTTGTTCACTGCCACTTGATAAGGGCAGTCAGGCACGGTGACATTTGCAGAAAACGTTGGGATATCAGTGATGTCTGGCACATCTACCCAATCCCGTACCAGTTGCAGAGGTAAAGGAGGAACTTTGGACTTATCCACCCTATGACCACGATCACCCAGACGAGTCCCCGTAGCTGGAATAGGAGTTTGATGATTTCTTGATTGAGATATCGGAGTAAGTACTTCTTCGAGCTAAGTGTGGAATGGGGAATGATGAGGAGAGACTAGTGCTTGTGGTTGTTGACCTGCAATCTGAACATCTAATTCACTCTAGTATACCTGATATTGAGGGTTGGTCAATATAGCGGTTAAGGTCTCTGCAAAGTTGACCTTGGGGTTCTTCTTCATAGGAGGTGCCATGGTCATGATCGTATCATTATCTTCATCGATCTGATGCTCAGTACAGGCAGCCTCTTCCAATGCCCACATCCTTCTAGCTAGGGCTTGGGTGTTACTGATTTGCCGTATAAACATTCCTTGTTGGATATGTATCCACTCCACAGCTACTGTAGCCATCCCCATCCTAAACCTAGTCTGCGCTTACTCATTCCACTATTAACTCTGTTTTTGAACTTCCTTTATCTGCTTCGTTACTTCAAGTAGGATCTA